TAAAGTCTTCTCAACGCCCATCGGCGATAAGGAACATTATTTTCGTCTTCTTATATCCACCGTCCTTTCAAATTAAAGGAAATCGTAGGGCTCTGATTCGCTTTAAAATCCTTCGCGCCATTGGCTGAAAAGCTTCAGACCCTAATAAATTTCAACCATACCCCTTCCTCCTTCGTGTTCTGCGAACCAGAGAGCTTCAGAGAAGCTCCCTCTCTTTCGCTCGCCATCGTCTCTCCGGGCAACTACAAATGCTCTGTGTCCTCTCTCTCTAAATTTCAGCCGCTCTGCCTCCTCATTCGCTCTAGGAATTTCAGCCATACCCCCTCCTTCATTGCTCTGCGAATCAGAGAGCTTCACTGAGAAGCTCCCTCTTTCTTGGTTGCCATCGTTTCTCCGGGCGATTACAAATGCTCTGCGTCTTTTCTCTCTAAATTTTAGCCGCTCTACCTCCTCATTCACTCTAATAAGCTCGTTGTGGCTGTTGGCATCTCAAGGAGGCAACACGCTGAGAAAAACCCAACCCAAGGCGATTCAGGATTAGGGCACTTTGGTATCTTAGGTATTATGGAGATGGACGACACCTAACATATATTTCTTGGGCTTTGCTGGAGTGGTCAAATTTTGAGACATTCGTATTGGGGGACTCTCTGGGATATATAAGGCACGCGATTACTATTCAGGCAAGTAAAATTGTTGCCTTGCTATTTTGGTCTTTTTTGACCGATCATTTTGCAATACTCTGCACCATCTATTATTTTTCTTGTAGTAGTAAGGTTAGCTCCTCTTCTGCTCAATGTTTGTTCCATCATGTTCGCTAAGAGTAGTTTTGATTATGAGCAGTATGGTGCTTTAATTGGCTTTTTATTTCTTTAAAATTCCATTAGGGATGTATAGTTGTTTTAACATATATTTCCCTTGAAGTAACTTGGTATATTGTCAAATGAGCAGGACATTATGAGAGGACTCCTTATAATAGCAATGACATTCGGTCTGTATATCATGTGCGTCAGTATGATGTCTATAAGCTCATGCAAATTGAGGAGAAAATTGATATAAATATTTCACATGATTGGCCTCTTGGCATCACTGAGCACAAGAACTGTAAGGAGCTTATTCGACAGAAGCTTTTTTTTGATAGAGAGGTAATCTGTACTTACACTTGAGGTATATTCGGTGCCTTGGACATGATTATAAATCTCAAGTTTTGAATTTACTGTGTTTTATTTATTTATTGTTTGAATATTACATATTCAAAATTAGTTGATAACAATATCAACACATTCGTTTTGGTATTGATTTATTTAATATTCATTTACCTGTTCCCCTAAGGTTGCTTTATTCTTTCGTTTCATATTTCACATAGAAAAGCGAAAGATTGTGGAGGTGTAAATATTCAACCTAGAATTTTAAATTACTTTCCTGAGTTTATGCCTTTAGATTGCATCTCCATTGCAATCTCAAAAAAACTGTTTTCCACTAAATGGCAATCTGTTGCCTGGCTTGATAGATGGGAGAGCTTGAAAATTTCTTGTATCAAGGAGTTGTGTGTCGAAGCTATAGGCATCACTGATGAGAAAGAGAAGCAAGAACACAATACAATTGTTGAACTCTAGGAAAGGAGAATTATGGGTGGAGATGAAGATGGAGAGGAGAAGATGAATTAAAGAAGAGAAAGCATGAGCTCCTCTGTGGCTAGATTCTTCATTCATTACATGGCAGAAATAGGGTACCATGGGTATATATATCCTTCGTTAGAAACATGAGGAAATTGTGAATCTTTAAAGATATTCTGAAGACCATTCAAGTCCAATTCATTGCACAAGCAAAAATACGTCAAGTACCCCTCAAACTCTGATTCTAGACCAGTGTATGTGCAAACTTAGTTCAATATTTTCATGGCATATTCTCTCAAACACAAACTCATGACTGCATGAAACAATGCTAGAATCTTGAGCCTAATTGTTACTCAGAAAAATTGAAGTGTTGAGCCTGACTTCCCTACACTTCTGTAGGACTAGCATTCTTACAAAAGTTAGATTAAACGGCAACCATAAAATAATGATATAGAATAATGACATGTCCCTATGGATGCACTTGTCCCTTATTCTGGAGTGAACAGCTGCTGCAGATCTTTAAAGATTTGCTTCCTATATCAACTGTGTTGGATGTGGATGACTTTGAGTAGTTTCTCGGCTTTCATATTTAAGTGCTGGATCAGGAATGTGCTTTTCAATGGCTATCTTGGTTCCTCTTCTCTTCATCTGCTGAGCATCTTTTGACCCAAGGAACTCAATTGTATTGCATGACAAGTGTGTCCAATTAATCCTTTTCCAACTTGAATGACACTTGTGGGAATGTTCTTGAGGTAATAACCACTCTCTCAAGATGTAGGGGCTTTTAATTTTTTGACTCTATGGAAAAATAGTAGAAAATAGGATTTCTACATCTAAAATTCAGCAATTTTTGGTGGATCTCAAAGCCAGTTTTCTGAGGTCTAGAAGGGGCAAAATTTCTTGGAAATCTGCTTAGTAGCCATGAAACTAAGATTGAAAAATTTATTGCCAACGGACCTTGGCAGTATCAATACAAAATGTATCAAACAATGGGGTTCTTCGGCAACCAGTATATGCCCTGAATGTAATAATATGTTCTTTCTTGGGATCATCTTCCTCTTCTGATTTCTGCACTTATTTATTTATTTTCACTCTTGACGTTCATTCCTCCAGCAGTTAAGGTATGTTGAACCATTGAGGAAGATCTGCTGGCATAAAATGTTCATGTTTGGCTTGTGTTCTAACTATTTCCTGAAAGCAATTTCTCTAATGTAGCTCACTCATTTGTATGGTAGATTATTGTGACAATGAACTTTTGATAATGAACTATAAAGGCAAGTACAAAGCTCATCAACAGTATTTCCACCTATTATTACATTAGAAGTTTTCAATACTTCATGTGGAATCTGAGATAATATATTTTATTATATTTTTTCTTTTTACAATATAATTCTCTGTTTTCAACTCTTTTGGTATGGATATCTAATATGTTTATTTTCTTTCTTATCAAAATATGACAGAATTCTTTCTTCTGTACTAGTGCTGATGGATTTTCTGATGAAATACCATCTAACTCTTCATACTTTCCATTCTCTTAGCTAACACAATGTGAGAATTATTGCATCTTGGGGAATCCCTACATAAGAATATCAATATCTCCCTTGCAATTAAGTCACTAGGAAGTAAGATTTCTTAGATTTTGTTTTGTGGATTTAGACATGTTCTTTGTTAATAATTTCAGATTCGGGAGAAAAGTCTGGGAAGGAAGCCTGTAGCAGAGTTGCTCGAGAAACTGAAACCGGCATATTGGTTCTCTGAGAATTTGCATTGCAAATTTCCAGCTATTGCCCAACATGGGGAGGATGGTCCAATCACAAAATTCCTTGCGTTGGATAAGTGTCTCCCAGGATGCAAATTTTTGCAGATTGCCTTAAAGTACTATAATGCCTTTAAGTAGTCAAAGAGTATGAAAAATATTCTTTGGAAACTATAAGCCACATTTTGATCTTCTATCTATTGTCGACAATTACATGAAGAAGGTGCTTTGTCACATGGAGAAGTTCATCACACCTTCAATCTCATTTTCAGATATCAATACGACTTTTGAATACATACTCAAAGGAACCGCCTTCACTACATCATTCGAATGGAAGAGTGAAACTTGAAGAAGCAAAAAGAAATAAATTACTTGTAGGTGGTTGAGTTAGCTCATTTGGGTTGCCTTTTTTTAAGCTTCATTTGTATATAGTTGTTTCCTATGTCATGAGGTGTTTAACCTCCTTGTATCTTTTCAGTGGTTTGTAAATGATTGTAATTGGTCGTTTTTTAATTAATGGTAATATTTTGTGAATCAATTCTCTAGTTTATGGTATTATTTAGTTTGTCTTTTTTTTTTTTAAGACACAAAATAACAAAAAGAGAGAGAGAGAGAGAGAGATAATTCAAATCCGAGGCCTATGAGATAGAGAGTAGGTTATCCATAAAAGGTGAGAATGTATCAATCGCTCAACATAAAAAATAAAATAAAATAAGAACTATGGGTATATAAGTGCATTTCATTATCCAAGTAACCCACATTGCACACGTTAATGACATACATAGAAAAGAAAGAAATGTCACAAGTAAGTTATCAAAAAGTCACCAAATGGGTTCTTTAGATGTCCCATAAAGAGGTTCTTTACATGCCCGCAAAATTACATGAATATTGAATATTCACATAACACCAAAGTCAACTACAGAAAGGGGTATTTGCAAGTCTCCAAAATTCAAAAAATTGGTCAAGTTATTTACATGCCTCATAAATAGGTCTTTTACATGCCTGTAAATTCATTGAATATTCACATAACCCCCAAAGTCAACTACAAAAACAGGTTTTTACGTCTTTAAATATATGTGCAAATGAACCCCTGCAAGTCGCCATATCCTCAATGCGAATGCAATCTGGCAATTTGTCATGTCCTCCATGCAATTGCAGCCCCTTTGTTTGTCATGGCCTCAACTCTGTTTGAGGTCCTCAATAGTTCTATAAGAGAAAGATGTATTGTATGTCCAATACGTAAAACAGAAGATAAATGAAAACTAAAGTTAAATAGAACAATTATGCTTATTATGTTTAATACATAAAGCAAAGAAGCACTTACATCCCACATGCCCTCACCGGATAGTTATGTCTGTCATCTCCACTCTTATTGCAAACTTTATACTTCCTTCCAGTGGGTGGCCTTTCCTCCGACTGTTTCTTTTGTGTAGAAGCTTTTGGCCCTTTTTCCCATGAAGGTTTAATCGTTTTAGTCCTTGGTCGTTCAATTGCTCATGCATATGGTGGATTAAGTACAAGGGGGGAGACATCAACTGATCTAATACTGCCACATACTTCATCTTCTGCAGCACTACAATGAGTGGGGGCTGATGGTGCATGAGTATTCGACAACGACTCTCTTGTGACATTGACCTCCTCAGCTAACTTGGAGAAACCCAACTTCACTTTTTCATATAAATCATCATTTTCTAATACTGGCTCTACAATTGTTTTCACAAGGTCATAAAGCTCATAGCGTCAAATGAAACTTGGAAATTTAGATATAGTCGAACTACTAGCACCACATTTGTTTTTGACATCCTTCTTCACATCCATTGTCTACCGACTCAAAATGTAATTAGATGGGATCTTCAATACATTTCTCATGTTGAACACTTTGAGCATATGTGAACAAGGGATTCCAACACGTTCAAATAATTGACATATGCATGTACACTTCTTCCCTGATTCAATGAATGTAACCATCCGAGGGATTGGCAAACCGCAAATGTCTTCCACCTTATATTTGAAAAATTCATCATTGCCTTCTATGAATTTGCTAAGGCAATTTGATGACCTTACTGCCTCTTCTTGGAACTTTCTAAATAATTTCTGAGTGTATGTTTTTGTTGTATGCTCTTTGATAAGGAAGGTCGTCTTTAGAACAGGTGTGGATGTAAGATATTTACTATATTTCTCTTTTTCTTTGATGAACTTCTTGTTTTGCAACTTTTCAATAGCATTCATGATTTTTTGCAAACCTGTACCATAAGTGACATACATCTTTAAATGACGATTGAACCCTTCACTTCGTTGTGTGGTTTTCATGCTGGCTGTGAACCTATCAGCTATGTATGCATCAACCTATTGAGTGCGATAACCATATAACCACTTGAGCCAACTTTCTTCTTGAAGATCATATTTCTGAATCATAGCCAACCAATCAGCCTCAAACTGCTCAACTGTAGAGGCTGCAATACACTTCTTGAATACCTCTAAGAATAATAGGTACGCACACTCAACATGGCTTAGATGTGTTTTAAACTTTCCCGTGATGTGCCACTTGCAATAGTGATGATTAGTATTCGGGAAAACTGTCTTAACTGCAGCTATTATAGCTAAAGCCTGATCAGTGATAATTGTATTTGGTTGGCGGCCTCCAATTGCATTTAGCCAGTTCTCAAATAACCAAATGCAGATTTCTATAGTCGCATTGAAGATGAGAGCACATCCAAGGAAAATTGTGTTAGCGTGATGATTAACTTCAAGGATTGGGCCAAAGGGCATATTGTAGTCATTTGTTTGGTATGTGGTGTCAAAGGTTACCACGTTATTAAAAAATTGGTATGACAATATACACTTTGAATCAACCCATAAAACACCAAATAACCTCCCCATCTCATCAAGTCGAACTCTATAAAAGAAGTTAGGTTCCAATTCTTTCTTCGTATGCAACCTGTTCATAACAACATTACCCTATTTTCCTTGTTTTCTCTTTCGAGTTATGTGATTATCAAGGTCTTTCTCAATGAAGAGGAGATTTTCTGCCCCACCGGCCTCTTCAATAAGGTAAGCCATTGTAACCCTAGACTTAGCCATAGACGACTCCAATGTGTTAATCACCTTATTTAATGTGTTTGGTATCTTTTGATGAGAGCGAATGAATCTAGTCTTGTTGGGCATTGTAAGAATATGATTATGTTCTTTTATAAACTTCGTAATAACCCATCTCTGCGTCTTATTCTTCTTAATGCGAATCTTTGCCTGACATCCACATTTTGTGTGGGGCTGAGCATTTTCACTCCCATCATACATCTCATTATAAAAACCTTGCCTACAATATTCTATAAATTGACCAACTTTTTCACCATGTTTCCATATGTCCTTCCCTTTCTTATACCAAACACTACAAATTTTACGTACTTATTATAATAATCATAAGCTTCGTCTTCGTCAGTAAATGCCATTCCCATTGCCGGTTCGATACTTGCACTTCTTGCTAGGGCTGCCTCTGCATCTATAATATAGGATCTCCTTCTCCATCTATTGCAACTATATCCTCATCAAATGGAAAATCATGGCAAGCTTCATCTACCATACCTTGAGCACCACACTCATGCCCATTTTTTGAACTAGTAATGTCGACAGGAGAGGAAGGAGATATTGATGTTGAGGCGTTCATGAAACATGTATAGTATGCCTGTTTGGTTTATATGGTCAACAATAAGAAGCATGTGGGAGAATATATAAATATGATAGAAAAATCATACTTCAAAAAAAAAAAAAAAAAAAAAAATCCTTCATGGATTCTCTAAATTAAAAATATCAAATACAAATACTTCAAAAAATAAAAAGAATAAAGGAGAACCATTGTTCATTCTCAAAACCATAGTTGTCCATTTTGTTATGCGATTTTGTCAAAAAAATTTATTTAAAATTTATTCGCTGATTTACAAAAAAAAGCCATATATGAACTCAAATTTCAGTAGGGATTTCTTTTGTTTTACTCAGAAAATAAAATTTCGAACTCAAAGTTATGATTTTTACGGTGAATTATAGACTATAAATCAAACATTAACAACATAGAAATTCAAATATTCGGGAGAAAATAAGTAATAGAAAATAAGTGATATGGGAATCCTTTTTTTGGTTAATATAATCTTTGTCCATTTTGGTATGTGATTTTGTCATAGTTTTTTATTTACAAATTTATTTATTGATTTATAAATAAAAAACCATATATGCTGAGGGAAAAATGAACTGAAATTTCAGCATGAAACTTTATGGCTTTACTCAAAAAATAAAATTTTCAAATCAAAGTTAGGATTTTCTGGTGATTTACATACTTTAAATTGAAGAAATTGTTCGTGCGTGAGGGATTTTAAACCATTTTTCTAGGGTCATTAACTCTACTGTTTACATAAAATGCCTGCACACAATATACGCATATAATCCCTAATTCTGCCTGATAAATGTTTTGGAAAATGCAGATTACTCGAGGCCTAACATACCGATTCAGTGCCAATATCAGCGTGCTTGGATGCAGTGCCCCATCCTTTTGGGGCCCGTACTACAATCAAACAGTTGTCATGCTTTCCTGTGCTAAATCCAAAAAAAAAACCAATATCTGAACTCAAATTTCAGCAAGAGGGAAAAATGAATTGAAATTTCAGCATAAATTTTTATGGTTTTACTCAGAAAACTAAATTTCCAAATCAAAGTTAGGATTTTTCTAGTGATTTAAAGAATATAAATCGAAAAAATTATTTGTTACTCACCAATTTCAGTGCCTTAATCCTGAGTCATCTTGGGTTGGGTTTTTCTCAGCGTGCTGCCTACTTGAGATGCTAGTAGCCACAACGAGCTTCCTAGAGCGAATGAGAAGGTAGAGCGGCTGAAATTTAGAGAGAGATGATGCAGAGCATTTGTAATTGCCTGGAAAAAAGGTGGCTAGCAAGAGAGAGGGAGCTTCTCAGTGAAGCTCTTTGGTTCGCAGAGCATACAGGAGGAGGGGGTATGGCTGAAATTTCTTATGCGAATGAGGAGGGAGAGCTGTTGACATTTAGAGAGAGAGGACACAGAGCATTTGTAGTTCCATGGAAAGACCATGTAGAGCGAAAGAGAGGGAGCTTCTCAGTAAAGCTCTCTGGTTCGCAGAGCACGCAGCAGGAAGGGGTATGGTTGAAATTTATCGGGGTTTGAAGCTTTTCAGTCAATAGCGTGAGGGATTTTAAAGCGAAGCAGAGCCCTATGGTTTTATTTAATTTGAAAGGACGATGGATATAAGGTGGCGAAAATACTGTTCTTGATCGCCTTTAGCGTTCGTAAGACTACGTGTACGGTAGGACAACGGGCACGACAGGGGGGACTAAGGG